CTTTTATGTAACTGAGGACAAGTTAAAAAAACACATTTTATGAACTACCTCTAGATTAATTAGGATTGAAAACAACTAAAACACAAATTTTTTTTTCAATTAATCTAAACTAACTCATAAATCAAGGAAACATAAAACTTTTGGTAATCCATAACTTATGGAGTTAAATGCTTGTTTTATGATGAAACTTTTCATGTTCCATAACTTAAGAATAAGTTATGGAATTCTTTAAAAATTAACACCAAATTTTGTAACTCCATAAAAACTTTGAATCATTTTTTTTAAAAACTTTTCATATCCATAACTTATGGAGGTTTCAAAACACTTAAGATCACAACTTTTAAAAAAAACTTTTGAGCTCCAAAATTTTATGACAAAATTTGTAACTCCTTAAAACATTTAGATCAAACTTTTAAAACTAATAAAATAATCATATCATTTTATCTTTTACTAAATTTGACCTAATTCAACTCATATAACAAATGATTCAAATTTTACAAATAATTCGTTTTTCACAAAACAAGTAATTATCTTAAAATTTGACAAACGTCATGTTTTTTTTTCTTTTTTTTTCAACTTGAAAATAAAACATTTGCATCATATAACAGAAAACAACCCATGGTCTCTGATACCACTGTTGGGTTTTGAGCATTCTAACACTCCTATGGTGTACATGCAACCCTATAAACCTTGGATCTATGTTTTCTCTATTATACATGCAAATATTAACTATTCCAAGGTTTCATCCTAACTAGCATATATGAAGCACCTATACTACAAAGTTCTAGTTAGATGACATACATTTTGATGTAGCTTGATGTCTTCAAGCTTTAAGAGCTTAGCCCCAATAGTGTGGAAGCCTCAAATGGAATCACAAATCACCAAAACACCTTGGAAGAACTTGAGAGAATATGTATGCACACTAAAAATCGGCCCACTCTTATTTCACACACTTGTGCCAATTTGTGAGCCAGGACCCCTTTATATATTATGGAGGATTAGGGTTACATCCATGTAAACCCTAATACCCATGACCTTTCATTTACATAGGATCCATGGGTTAAAAGCTCCATGGACCATCCATGAAAGCTTAGCCCAACCTAAATGAACTTGGCCCATTCCATATATATAAGAGTCCATGTTTAATTAGTTCTTTTTGATCACTTAATTAATTCTAAATTAATTCTTGATCAATACTAATTAAATAATATGATTCCATATTAATATATTAGAACTTATAATATATTAATATAAATCATAAATATACTATTCTCAAAAGACTATACATATAAATTGTGCCGGTGAAGTGCAACCCAAATGGACCATGTCGGGTCGGGTCAAGTACATACCAAATATAGTTATGGACTTAGACATTAATCCAACACATAGATCATATAAGCATAATACTAAAGGTAGATATGACTAGTCCTAACACTCTAAGGAGCGCTCGACGACGGTAGTGAGGTCATATACCAATGTGTTGTGCCAACAACTGGGCCATCTCAGTCATTTCTCCAATGACTTCATCTCTCTCATGTCCCGCTTGCACCGCTCGTGCTTCCATGGCGAATAGTTGTTGCCACAGAGCAGCAATCTCAGCTTCCGGAGAGCGATTCTCCCTCAAGGGATTTCCTGGTGGGGCGGGGTGGTCCTGCTGCATCTCGCTGGTAGGTGATGTGGCAGAATCCTTGTCTGAGTCTTGTTCTTCATCCATGTCGTCGTCGGTCCCATCAAACTCGTAGTCCTGTTCCGTGTACTCGTCGGGCCCCAATGCCGTGTGTCCCCCTTGGTCTCCCTCGGGTTCGTCCTCGATCATTCCGTGGGCCACTAAGGCCTGATGAAACTGAATGCCCTGGTGTTCTCCTTCCATGGTGACTGAGAGGAGGTATATGAATAAACTATTATTACTCCTAAGATGTTTAATTATTATGTAAATTGAGTTGATGTTCTTTTCTTGGTAACAAGGGGTATGTTTTTAGGTTTACCGTCCATCGAGGTTTTTTACCGGGGCATGTAATAGTTGTACTTCGGAGAAAATGTAGTTGATCATGCTACATTCACCCCTTAATACAACTAAGAACAGTCCCGACTTAACCAAGATGTCAGTATTATCTTATTTGATTTGGTATTATGTTCTTTTTCCTATATCGCACTAGTAAAGATGTTTTATCGTTGTGTTTACTTGTTTGTTGCAGAGTTGTTTTAGTCCCCTCTTTAGTTTATAGTTGCATATCAATGTGTGGTTAGATATGCCAGTTCACTATAAACAGAGCTCTGATACCAACCTGTCACACCCCCGAACCAGACGGCGGAAACGTCCGAGGGCTCGTGTGACTTAAATTGAATATCATCACAATGATTATACATAAAACACAACATAAACTTCACCATGCATTAATACATAACGATTGACATTGTTCACATCCAGTACATTGTTTAAATATTACATATCCATAGCATTAATTGTTTGAGAGTTTTCAAAACATAACATTCTAACATACTTGGTATTACCCTGCAGCTTACCTGTTACCTGAGAATACAAGTTATTTTGAAAAACGTCAACATATGAAATGTTGGTGAGCTCATAAGCAGGGTTGTGATAAAAATGATTTGTATAATTTATAAAACCCAGAAAATCCGATATTTTCTGAAAAAGACAGTTGTTTACCAAAGTATGAAGATCCATAAGTTGATGCATGAATGATTTCAAAACGTGTATAAATGGGAAGTTTTGCATTATAGTCATTGAAAAATACAAGCGAGTGATGTTGATTTCCTCGAAAAACCCAATGTTTTCCGATAACATAATATAATTATTTCAAATTGTTATACCGCCACAACGAATGATATTGATTACTCTTCCTTGATTACTTGGATGGTATTGGATTTATTAAATTATGTGAGTCGTTATAACCATGCATAATAATGAGTAGTTCGTCTGTCTTGGCATCCTAATGTATGCCGGGATTGATCTTAAGATTTTGTCACCCTAGACTGGCCGAGTCTAACTGTAGCGAACAGCTGAGGTGTGGGGGAGTCACCCCCGTATAGATCTATACACAAACTCTCGCTCCCCTTCCAGGAGACTTTGATTATAACTACAGACTACGAACGACCCTTAGAGGTGTCGCCCATTATTACTCACTTAATCCAACCAAATTGTTTACTATTGATTAACGACCTGAAATTGTTTACTTTGATTTCAAATAAGCCTAACAAACGCGGAGAAGAGGAATACAAGGTCCTGCTAATTACGCGTGTTATTTAAGGCTGTTGGATTATACGAAGGACACATTGGACCATTTCGTATTTGATTAAAATTGGACCTTACTAGCAATGCTAATGGGCCACCAAGGCCCAATAGCATATATGTCACACCCCCAAACCAAGGATGGCAGAAACGTCCGGGGGTGGAGGACTTCATGTGTAGTATCATAACAACAATTGTAATAGTAATTCAAGCAAACACAACCAACATATATATAATTGAAAAAGTTACATCATTGTATGAATTACATGTTTACGAATCAATTACAATATGTTGACAAAATATGAAATAGTAGACGCCTTAGCGTCCCATCCTCAAAAGCACTTGATTACCTGTTTAATGATTTCCTGAGAATACAAGTTGTTTGAAAAAGTGTCAACACAAAGGTTGGTGAGTTCATAAGCTTTTGTTTGGTATTATTAAAAGCCTTTCGTTTGTGAAAGTAGTATTTGTGTTAGAAAATCCAATGTTTTCCTTAATGTGTAAATGTAGTCTTAAAACCCAAAGACCGAAATGTACAAGTAATTTGTCATATTTATAGTAAAACAATGCAAGTTTAAATCGACATAAACTCATTAAATTTTAATGAAGTTCCCGTAAATTCCAACGTTTATTAATACTTTATGTGAGTTATTATAACCATGCTATGACCTAGTTGGCCTGAAACGACGTTCTTCAGGCGTCGGAAATGTTATGACATTTGTCACCCCAGACCTGCCGGTCTAGCTGTTGCATGCAGCTTAGGTGTGGGTTTGTCAAACCCAATATAGATCTATACACAAGTATCACGCTCTCCCTCAAGGAGACTCTGGTTACAATACAGGACTTAATGGTAATTTGAAGTAAATGTCTCACAAAGTCATTAACGGAATTACGTGTTATGAAAACTTGGTACCGTATGGCCGTACCTTGCTTAATGAAAATATCCTTTGTATAAATGTACCCTTTTTAAATGTATTTGTTATGTAATGTATCATAAACTATACCTATTATAGTTTATCAACCAAGGGTAGTACGTGGTAATGTATGCAAACTATATTCAAAATAGTTTATTAAATGTTTGAATGTATCGATTGTACTTTGATTATAATCACTTGTTTTATTCTTTATATTTTATATGACCAAATCCATTTGTAAACTGATGTGTGTCTAAATATTAAGATAAAATGTCATATATTGCAATAACATATAATCACATAAAGATATACACCTTGCTCAACATGTTACAAGGTGAAATGAAATAAACAGCAACTTTTCGTTGAAAACAGTTTCTGTTACTGTTCTTAGAAAATTTATAAAAAAATCATCAAAGCTCTAAATCCAAATCCGCAAATTTTGAGAGTTTGGAATATGAGTCTAGTTTGTTCGTAAATTTTACCATGATTTTTAGTGATCTCTAACAGAGGTGAAAATGTTCATAATCACAGACTGGTCCGGGTTTGCCTCTGAAATGACAGGCAGTTTTGTAAAAATCACCATAAATTGTAGAAAAATCATATGGAGATGTGCAAGTAGCCATTTTAAAGCTAAGAGTTTGAACTACTTGCACCTGGAACAGTTTTGAAAAACTAAATATTTAAGTTGACCAAAACAGTCCGTGATTAACGTCCATCTTTTCTGATGTAATCTGTTAGAAAAAGTTTAATTGTGTTCTTGATGATTTTACTTGTATTCCCCCCTTAAAACTTAAGAAAAACATGTAAATGTAGGGGTATGAACTCACCCTTGAAGCGTGAGTTCCATTGGTACGGTATTTGCATTCCTTTGAGAAACGAAAATAAACATTCCGAGTGAACCGCAAATTCATAATTCTTGAACCTTGAAGTATTACCAGGACCTTTTTGTAATAGGTTTACAGTATAAGGATTGTTTGTAAATTATTTTATCCAAAGTGGGACTGATTGGGTAAACATAATTTCAAAGGAGGGGTTAATATTGACAATTGGAATCAAAGATTTGGGGTTTGGACTGAATTTGCAAAGTATTTGTAAAAAGGGTTAAGTTTTGATAGTTTAAATAATGGGTTTGGTTTCTGTTTGACTGTTGACCGGGTCAAACCCGGTACCCGTTTTCATTTCGGGTTGATGCTCCATACCCGTATACTGATCCATCAATAGGAGATTAGGGTCCTTAAACCCGTTCCATTTATTTCGATCGGGTAATAAGATCAAAAAGGGGATACCAGGTTCAATTCACAGACACCATGAAGAACACCTATGAATCGGGAGGAAGACGAAGGAAAATCGAACACCGATGAATCGGGAGGAAGACGAAGGACATCGAACACCGATGAATCGGGAGGAAGACGAAGGACATCGATCGTGGGTGGGTCGGAGAGGCTACTCCGGGGTTCATCTGATTCAAAGAAATAATGAGGCGACGATGGTGGTTCTTGGCCCGGTGATGGTAAATCCATCAGGGGAGCATCGTCGGTGGTCGACGAGACCAAAGAGGAGGGATGGAGAAGCAGCGATGGTTTGTCGGTCGGCTTCACAAACCGTTATGGTCTCCTGGGTTCGATAAGCCGAAGCAAAGAAAGGGAATGGAGCAGCAGCGAGGGTCGATGTGGTACGAACAGATGAGGGCATGAAGAAGCAGCGATTGAGGAAGGAGGTTCCTTCGGTGCTTGGCTGGACTGATAAGGAAAAAGAAATGGAAGCATCGGGGTGAGGCTGTTGGTCGACGTTCAACAGGTGAGTAGATGGGGTTATATGCTCAGGTGATTCCTTGTTTCTATCTTCTTTCTGTTTTGGTTTGGTTGGAATAAGGTATGTGTTTGGCTGGAATCGATGGATTAACTGGGACGTTTGGTCGTTTCGTTTGACAGCAAAGAGAAGGAAGAACAATGGTGAAAAGAGAAGGAAGAATGAACTGGAAAATGTGGTTCTTGTTGCAGATAACACGAGATCAAGAACAAAATCGATCTTGGCTGGGAACAAAGATGCAAGCAGATACAAAGGATCGATCAAATTTTCACTGTAAGGGTTTCGATTTACAGAAGATCCTGTGACTTACAATTTGACTTTTGATTGCTTCCACATTTGTTGAATTGTCCGAATTTTTTCTTTGTCTGTGGTTGTGATTTTGATTGCAAAGTATGGAGTTTGATCAACAGATTTTCGATAGTGATTGGGTTTTGATTATTTGACAGGGGAAGAACGGGAATTCGATGGGGAGGTTTGTTTTGATTCTGTTTATGTGTATTTGATAATTGAAGAATGGATGATTGTTTTAATGGGAATCAATGTAGGTAAAAGTGTTTGGGATTCTTTGATAGATTGCAGGAAACAAGGAGGAAAAAAAAAAGGGAAGGAATAAAGCCATTCCCCTACAGTGTCCATTGGCTGTCAATTTATTAGTGTCCATTGGCTGTCATCTTTTTAGTGTTTGTGTTTGTATATTCCTATATTTGAATTTGATATATTATTAGAAGTATTGGTGTATGTATGTATATAAGGTATTTGGTCTTTAGGATTTTACACAACACGCAAATTTTAAATGTATATTTATTTTGAATATATACACGTTACATATCCTACATGTATTTAGATAATTGAAAAGGTAATTAACACACACACATTTATATATATATATATTTATATATATATATATAAATTTGAACTTATATATATTAACCATGTAAAATTTATTAGTTTGTTAAACCTCGGCTGGTTAAATTAAAATTACAAACACCTATACTTAAGAGACCCCAATCTACGTGCCATTGGTCTTTATTGCATCGCGGCCCACGGGGGTTTGATCGTCGAACTATGACCGAATTGAACCGGTTTTTACAATATAGGTGCCATTGAGGGTCCTTTAAACATGTAATTGGGTCACCGGAGGCCCAATATACATTTATTATTAGCGTTAGGCCCAAAAGTCAAGTTAATGGGCCACGAAGGCCCAATAAGCAAGATTAAGATCTCTCAAGCCCAACTACTTGGATATTTACTTGTTTTAGGTATAGTATAATAGCTGGAAAGTTTGATTTAACGATTGTTATCTTCGCATCGGCACGAGTCTGGTCGGTTGTTTATAACGATATTTGGAATTTACGTATATTCATCGTTCTATTTTTTTTTTCAAGAGTTGTTGTTTGGTATTTTTGACTCAAATGTCTTAACAACGAAATAATTGGTTCAAAATGTTGGTTTGACCCTTTTCAGCATTCCTTTAGTAAAAATAACAATTTTTGTCCCTGATTTAAGAAAAAGAACATTTTAGGCCCTTAAACCATTTTCTTGGCATTTCTGACCCATAGACTTGTTTAAGAGATGTTTTTAGTTCAAAAATTTCTCTTTGGCAGTTTCAGCCCTTCCAGTAAGGAGTTTTTCAGTTAAAACCCAAACTTTTCGTAACTTTTACAATTTTGGCCCAAAATCCAAAAAGTTTACATTTTTTATCCTTGTTTGGAAAATAAATCATTTTAACCCCTGAATTGGTTTTGTTTACCCTTTTTACCTCCTGTTTTGTGAATTTTATCATTCAATCCCTTGAAAATTTGGTTTTTCGCAATTTTGGGCTCAATGGGCCGAAAAGCCCAAAAATTGGCCCATTAAGCTACAAATTACATTTCTAGTCCTTTGAAGAGTATAATATTCATAAAAACTTTTATTTTAACTGTTTTGACTCTTTTGATCCTTAAGAAAAACCGTGAATGGCAATTTTAACCCAACTTTTGTTTATTTGACAAATTAAGCCCAAAAATTGGTTTTATGTTGCAATATGTTGATTTTAATCTTAGAGGGCAACTTTCCTTGACTTGTTTAGTGTAATATACCTTAGATCATGTTTGTTTTCCTTCTTATGCCATAGATCTCGAGATTTCTTTCCTTTTTGTTTACATATTCGACACATAAGCACATAAAATCACACATACATACATGAAATCATACATAACATACATATTCACATAGATCTACACATTTTACTTGTATCCTCCCCCATAAAACTTAGGAAAACCGAAAAGAGAGGTGTATGAACTCACCTTTTCTAGTTGATCACGGTTTTGAAGAAAAATGGAAGAAAGTGATGTGAATTTCGGCCTAGCAAGCTTCTTGGAAGATCTTTGGCTTAGATGTGTTCTAAGAGGCAAGATCACGAATTTTTGTATGAGTTAAGGGGGATTTTTAAGGAAATCAAGAAGTTAAAGTATGGATCAAGCAACAACTTACCAAAGATTAGTGATATTAAGAAAAGATCTTCTTGTAGCCCTTGTGATTCTCGAAATTTTGAGAGAAGATGTAAGAGTGTTCTTATGAGTGTTTGAGAGAATTTGGAAGAGTGTGGGTGTGTGTGATGGGTTCTCGGCCGAAATAAGAGGAGGGGAGAGAGAAGAGAGTGAGTTGAGTGGACATGCATGGGAACATGAGAAGAGTGCATGGATACCCCATGTACAATTGTCAGGTGGCACCATTAAGTCAACTCTTTTCCCCCCTTTTTTTGTAGTTGGGCCGAGAGAGGGAGAAGAAAGAAAAGAATTTGGGCCTTTTTGTGCTTAAGTCCATATTATGGCCCATTTAGATGATTTTTGGCCCAATTGGTCTTTGGAGATGGTTCACGGCCCAAAATAAATCAAGGGATGAGTTTTATGGCTCATTAGGGCTAATTAGATTTTGTTATGGCCCAATAAGGCCCATTGAATATAACCTAGTTCATTTTAGGCTCATAAGGCCCAAAATATTAAGTTTCATGCAAATGGGTCCAATTAGGGCCCATTTAATAGTTCTAAGCCCAAAATAGTCAAATTGGAAGCTTATGGGTCCATTAGGCCCAATAAGAAAATCCTAGTCCAAAAATGGGCTTAAACCGGGATTTTTAGGGTTTCCAACTTTTGTGGACTATTTGAAAGTTTGTATAGAGTATTTGATGGAATTTGTGGTCATTGAATAAGCACCATACATGTTTTCAAGTTTTAGCTACAATGTTATCTTTGTTAAGTGTTTACAACGTATCAGAAATTCCTAGTTGTGACATTTGGGCCCATTAGGGTTCCTTGATTCCACATTGTCCAAACATCCCCCAAACGAGGTCCATACGCAATCAAAGCACACCGCCACCCGACACGGCGGCCGGTGGCGGCAGGAGGCAGAAACCACCACCTCACGGTGGTGGTTTGGAGTTTCTCTATTATTATTCCGGTTACATTTACAATGCTGAAAACCAAAATAACGCACACACACTCACACACCTAAATACATAGCAAAACTCACACACAGCCACCACCACGCGGCGACTGGTGGCGGCAGAGCAACAAAGGCAGCGGTTACAACCATGGTTGGTAGCCATGGTGGTCTTCCTTGGTTTCCGGCCAATCCAACACCATACACGAGTCTGGACAGTGACACCACCACCCTCCTAGGCACGTACGATGGTGGCAACGGCTGAGCTTGGCGGCAGCATCACCGACAGCTACATCCTACGAGTTCGGCTCTTGACAGCAACGACCCCGGTGGTTCACGACCAACTCCTTCACTATCTTCTCCATCTCCAACCTTCGGTGAACCCCAGATGTCGCTATAATGGCGGAATAATGGATGGCGGACGAGGGCTTCCACGGTTGAACCGACAGCGTCACAAGAAACCCTTCGCACCTCCGGTCTTCCCGGCTGGCTCTCCTCAGCAGCTTCGTCTTCCACAGCAACGGCGCAACGACAGCTGGAGGAGGATCGTCCGCTAGTCCTCCCGGTAGTCTTCAGCTTCTCCGGTCATGGAGAATTCATGGCTAGTCTCGACTGGTCATAACAGGCAAAGTGGTGGTGGCGAATGGAGAGCAGTCAACGAGCGAGCAACGACAGTAACACATGTCGCTTCCCGGTGGTCCTCGTCGCCGACAGCACAAGCTCCAGTGGTGGATTACGACGTTGGCAGTGGCAGGTAACGGCCCAAGCCGACAGACGGTGCGATCGTCGGTGGTTTCTGATCCCTCCGATGATGGTGGTGAGGGGGTGGCGTAAGGGGTCAGTGCGGCGGATGGAAGAGGGAGGCACAAGGATGGAGAGGGTAGTGACGGTTGGAGTTGTATATTAGGGTTAGGGTTTAGATGAATAGAACAGTTATACCCGTTCCATTTAACTTGGTTCCATATTTGTCAAAACGGATCCCTCCTTCTCTTTTCCTTTCATATTAAGTCCAAGAATTACCATTTGGCCCCCGACTCCATAAAATCCTTTCAACTTTGATCCGATATTTACCAAATAACCCCCATCTTTCATAATTCATTACAATTCTGGTACAATACTTACCAAACACACCCTAACTTCTTAATTCCTTTTCAAAATAGATCCCGAAATTACCTTTTTAACCCCCAAAGATTCAATCCTTGTCATTTGACTTCCTAAAACCAACACCCTACTAACCATTTAATTATTCTATTTAAAACGGGTTGTTACAACTCTCCCCCACTTAAATTTGATTTCGTCCTCGAAATCGTTTCTTATCATTCCTTACACGCCAACAACTTGAACTACTTGGCTACAACTCCGAGCAAAACTCTTGCCTCTCAAAAGGCAACCATATCCAACCCTCGTAGGGTTCTAAAACCAGGAAATAAACGAATCCCTTGCCATATGATCACACTTACTCAATCCGAAATCTGGAGTCTCGAGATGGTCTGGCTCCCTGACAGACTGCCCACATTAGATCATTGTCAAATGCGTTGCACTTAACTCCCAACTGGCTACTCAACTGCTAATAACCTGGGGGTTTCCACCCGAAACGGAATCACAAATCCCACACTGCTACCTGTAACCCTCTTCTTGACAAGAGATTAGGTACTCCTTCAAGAGAATTTCGTTCTGATAACCAATTCCTAGCGATATAATGAACGACGAGATGCAAACTGGGTGATGAACCCTCTTGGGTCGACACAACAATGTTTCCTTTGGTTCCTGAATCGCATACATATAATAACCGACTCATAAGCACAAATACTCATACCTGGCCCAATCAGCCTCGGGCTGGAATACCAGGCATGCCTACGACGGGTCCAGTCATCCCTAGAATGGAATACCCTCGTATCACGCACCTGTTTGGTCCAATCAACCCTCGGGTTGGAATACTAAACACGTCAGGTCCACTCAATCGTAGGGTCCGGTCAACCTCATGATGGAATACCCAAGATTGGAATACCACTATATACATAACTCGGGTCTAACCCATAACTTGAAATCCAAGGACCTATCCTTGCATCTCATCCAAAAATCCTCTGATTCGCCACTACCGAGTGACACTCATCCGAAATACCGGGTTCCGGCCCGGTCGCGGAGCTAA